CTCCTCTGGAGCAGGTCATATCGGCCGCACGAGTCGGCGCTTATCCAAAGGAATACGGGAGCACCTCTGGCATTATTGGCCAAAGGTGAAATCAGAAGCATCAACAGCGCAATCCTTGCCCACATGGTTGTCTCCGGACATAATGTGGACCCCAGTAAAGACTTTAAGGTAAACGTTTGCTAGCAACAGCGGGAGCAACCACGATTCGGTTGATGAAGCCGGTTTTGTGCGCGCAAAAGAACCTTTTGCTAGCCCCGAGCTTGACACGGACAACAGTTGCTTAACCAGAAAAAGAGGACGCGATCACTGAAACAAGAGTTTTATTTGCCTGATGTTTCGGATTCCGCATTTTTCCGCGCTTCCTTCCTCCTCAACACCCCCACTCCCCTGTCGGGACTTAGCAAACCCGCTTTCATCTTTCTGTGCCTTCTACTGCTTCTTCTCCGTCCGGATTCATTAACCCGCATCTTCTCGCAACCAGTCGAGTGCTATCAACCCCACTCTTTCTCTCTTCCCATGAATAATTTGCCTGTGATGATGAACATAATTGCCAGCATGTTACTTTTTACCCCCAACCTATATAAATGTAATGGCCCCAGTAGAATTTATCGAAAGCTAGGTATGCTCGTCAGATATTCTTCAGAATTGGAAACGTCCGGAAAATACATTTTTTGTTGCAGTGATCGCATCGTTATCTTCTGAGCAGGAATTCCGGTTTGTGTAAAATTTAACTTTTGTGCAGTACATATTCCTCACGTTAAGCTTTAAGAGGACATTTGGCAAACATATGTTTTCAGCAATTCAAAATCAGACATGTACAATTATATAAGTAATAAAAACCTTAGAACTAGGCAGCGTTTATAAATGTTTTGTGACTATAACTAATCGTTTTCACACATCCTGCTTAGCGAGATCGTTATGCAACCTAAAGTAGGATAATCTGTGATTTTGAGCCATGGATCGAGTAAAATCACGATGAAAATCACTGTAACGCGCACGGAGTGAACAACTGTCACCAGGAAGGTGGGGGCGACTTGCGATACAACCTGGCATCGACCACGTTAGTTATATTCCCCGTATCAGCCTGTTCAAGCAGAATACAACTGGGTTCGCTAGCTGTATAGCCACTGCCTCGTCAGTTAATAGCATTCATTGATGTATGCCCTTGCAGAAGTTGACTGGTATCCGCTAGACTCGGCGATTCGTAACGAAAAGTTGTGCGAAAATAAAACTCGATATGGATGTACGCCCACCTTTACTTAGCCAGGTCGGTGTATGTTTCTGTATCCTCATTGCCAGACGTCTGCTGGTCCGGGCAATATATCCTGCTCAACGGGGAGTTGTTAAAAACTAAGGTATATCGTTTCGGCCTTCAAAATGAGATCGTTTTATTAGCTCGCATGTTGTATTGCCTGAGTAGGGCAGCCTTATGGAAAGGATTTTTTCTTTCCCGCAGTTCACATATTTAACAAAAGATGCCGTAGTTATTAAAAAACAACATTTTTGTTAAATCCACCTAATGATACCCCTTTTTATTGTAAATGACTTTCGCGATTCATCGAAATTTTGCCTCTTAAATGATACAACCTACACAATACAAAGGCGCATGCTCCAAACCAATTACTGATGGCAGAAAATTGGACTTATCCAGCGACAATCTGTGCATAAAGCTTTTGGTAATGAAACTCGGATTTCACTTTTTTTGTAGAGCTGAATATACCATCACCATTTAAATAATGATCCATGAGATCAGTTCTGTTTTTGTTTTTAGCTAACCATGTTTTAGGGCAATTGCATCTTAACCTTCTTCAGTGATCTAGTAAGCGCCTATTTGCAATAGACTTAGGTGAGTAATCCAAACGCTTACGCAAAGGTCTTGCATTAATCCCTGAGAAATATCTTTAAATTATTCGTCATATCAACTAAACATATGTTAGAAGGCAAACCCAAAGGACATAGTTTAGCGCTTTTTACAGCCTACCACGTTCTCTGAACACTGCTGCGAGCACAAGGGAACAAACGTGAACATAGGTTTAACGCACTTCCAACTACGCGTAAGTTCACGGCGGATATACACATAGCCGCAGGACAACCCGTCCTCGAAAAAAAGAGCAATTATCACCCACCTAAGCTCATTCTCCCCTTGTGCGAGTGCGAAACCTCATGAAGGTGTGAGCGCAAGCAGGACATCTAGCCTATGGCTGGATGACAGCAGTGCACGTCTGAAAAACATCGTCCAACGAGCCCCCCCGCACCTTATCTGTGCATGTCTCCGACTTTCCTACGATTACCTATGATTAAAGATTCTCGACAGAATCTGAAACGTCAGGAAAATAAAACTCTTGTTCCAGTCTTCTTCTTCTCAATTAATTAGGCACCTTGCTCGTCTGCTTAATTTGGCGCGGTGACTGTATATTCCTTCCCGTCGCAGCACCCTTCCTCTGCTCGGTTAAGTTCATTTTCCATAGAAATCTCACCAAGTGCACATTCTCTGAGGCGCGGTGCTACTCAGACGATGGAAGCTTCCCTTCTTTTGAAGTATCGGGAAAATAAAACTATGGTTCGCGAGATCGCCCTTTCTACTCGTATATATGTAATATTTGGAAAGGTAGGGCCTATACCAATTATGAGAACTATACTGGTCTAACGTTTCGGGATCTCCATCGCACCGATGATCAGATAACAAAATATTTTGTCATATTATCAAATGTCAAGTACGTCCAGCCCTTTCAGATTTCCCTTACATTTCTGTAAGAGCACTGTACCTTTTCTTCGGTCTGTTGGGTCTGATTTCTTATATAACATACTGTACAGTAAGAAAACTCTAAGACAACGCAACTTCTTCCTTTAACGTTCAATCCTCAAAAGAACAAAATATGTTCCCATACTTTAGTAAGCACCTATTTCTAGGTATTGTATCCGCTGAATCAGATTGCGATAAAAAATTATTCCGGTGATGGTTACAAAATTTTTCGCGGTGATATTTGACCATAAAAGTTCGTTCTAAAATGTGTGACGTCGATCACGGCTGAAACTTGGCGTTTGCTACACGTGTTATACTCAAGCATACTCATGGGCGTATTTCATATTAAGGTGCATAAAGCTTCACAAGATAATTTTCTAATAACCTGAGCAGAAACAACTAAGTTCGTATATCACCTAAGACATCTTTGGCCGCAGAATTCTAATTAACAGGACCGGTGGTACTGACAAAGCTTACTTTAAGTTTATTAGTTTGATTTATTTCTAGTTAAGCTAAGTGTTTTTTTTGTTAAGTGAAGCTTAGGTTTTAGTGTGCGTTGGTTATTTAAGTATATTTATCTAAAGGTGGCCGCATAAAACCAAAAATTAAATTAAATTGATTAAGTAAGTAGTAAACTAAAAACTAAAGTTAAAATAGCAGAACCAAATTTAACTATAGGACCAGGAGCTAGAGGTTTTCAAGGTAGTAGACCAACTTTATTATTACAAACTCGGGCTTTTATCGCCTACATTCTATGCTTGCCTACCTTTAGTTCTTTATAATGGATGCAAGTTACGAAACGTCTTCAGCACTCCAGCATAATATTTCCAAATTGCGTGATGGGTATGCATCCATTCTTATCAAATCTACCAGACCTTGACAACTGCTATCCTATTTGTGGGATCCATTTTTTCCTGGATCCGCCTTTAGATCAATTGCATTCCCTAGGTAGCATGGGCGAAGAAGGTGCATTGTATGCGACTCGCAAACCGGTGTTACGCCAAATACGTTAATTTTCAGAAATGTGCGCAACACGCATCCGTTCGGAAGACATTTACTTTACCTGCTCGGTGGTGACTACACTTAATCACACCCTATTTTTTTCTAGGATCGGAATTTAGATTTATAACATTTCTGCGGTAGATTTTGCCAAGAAAGTGCCACGCCTTCTTCTTCTAAAATAGAGTTACACATAATAGTTTTCCTGCAGCTTACTCTAAGACCGGCCGACTTTGTCCTCTGTATTGTTTGCAAAAACTCCCCTTCTGATCAGTTATGAAATTCCGTTAATGAGGATTAGATTTTACAGTCCGTTCTGGCGCATAAAATGTTTTTTTTTCGCATAAACTCGTAGATTAGGCCTTTAGATATCGGGAAAATACCTCCAAATCCCCTGCTGCTAGCAGTGGTCACATGGGGATTTATTGAGAATTTAAGCAACCTTTTTTTGCAGTTTCTCTCGTACTTTACATGCGATTGTGGCGCTAAAGTAATATTTGTCCCAAACCATGCGTTTTACTGATGGTCTGTCTTGCCTTAATTTAAAATGCTTAATAAGGTAATACAAAGTTACTAACGACCATAAACCTTAGGTTATGTCAGACTATTTACATTTCGCGGGGAGTATTATTCCTCAATGTTTGCTTTCTGTAAATCCTATCGTCGACAAAACGCAAGCACTCAGAAAGGAACCGCCTCTGGAGGAAGATTCTTCGTATACTTTTCGTATTATATTTGGGC